ATATATATATATTTATATATAACTGCTTAATTATGTGTTGTCATGCACAGAATTTAATAATTATTTGTAAGTTACAGGTACCAATGATACTCGTTGGAAATAAATGCGACTTGGAGGATGAGCGCGTTGTAGGTAAAGACCAAGGATCAAATTTGGCCCGTGCATTCAATAGTGCTTTTCTTGAAACTTCAGCTAAGGCAAAAATTAATGTTAATGAGGTATGTTTGCGATTATTTGATTGATGTAAAATCAACTTATTTTATGTAATTCCTTATTCTAAGCAATAGTGAGTCATTTCTTTAAAAAAATCTGTTCTTTTATATCTGCTGTGGATATTCATCCAGAAAAGCACATGATTTAAATTTTCTGATGCAGATTTATATGAGCAGTTTTTAGTAGCTCCTTATTAGATGGTAATTTCTGTAGCTACATTATATGTAAAATTGTTCCAGTGCATATGTACTCTTGAATATGTATTATGGAAAATAGACAAATCATACTCGCAATAATCAGTTGTGAATAAAGTTTTAATAAAAATGACTTATCAATGTCGTTTGTCCACATGTTGATTTCTTTTCTGCTTTTTAAGGTTTTTTATGATCTTGTTCGTCAAATCAATCGTCGTCATCCGGAAGTAAACAAGCGTCAGACGGGTTCAGCAACGTGTTGTTGTAGTGTGATATGATGATCATATTATTTATCACCATGGTGATTCAGAAATTTTGTTTTCAAGAGGATTCCATTCAGCAGACGTTGTTAAAAATTGATATTGAATATTCACTGGTGTAGTACATACCATCCAAGAACGAATCTGTAGGTTTGGTGGATGCATCATCACTGTGATATAATTACTAGAAAATGTGCCTTTTAAACTGAAGTAAAAATCTCACTGTAATTTTTATCAGCTGCATAAATTCTGTTATCACGTACCATCTGAATGTTTGCAGATGTCGAGTATTCCTTTGGTATCTCATGGTCACAATTTGTTATTGAAATTTGTGGTATTATTGAAAGAGCATAAATTATATCTCAGTTATTGAGCAGATAAATTGCATTATAGTAGCGATCCTGTCTGATTTGTATTTATTACATGAATTAGAGTGACAAAATATTAGTAGCTTTAACGTTTTAGGTGTTCTACACCAGTGGATTAGATTCAGCAGACAATAAAATATTGAGAAGCACAGTTTTCAGAGTGTCAAGTACAATTTAGGGACATTTTTGCATCCTTCAGGTGTATTCGTTGTTTGTGTATTCTACTTTATTTCCTCGTGCTTTTTGGTTCGTTCATTCGGTATTTTCTATGGTATTGTAAACGCTGTTTTTTGTTGCTCGTTATTGAAGAACAATAATTCAAATTGTGAATATTCTGTTCTGTAAAAGTTTGCTTTTTACTGTTGCAGAAAAGCATAAATTTAGGACTAAATAATTATGCATGTACATTAATTGGAAAGCATATATGATTCATTATTGAAATCGGCCCAAAGAAACTGTAACTAAAAGTATCGGAACGTCAGACACGGGCAGATGGGAGAGAAGTGATGTAATTGAATGCGGTCTGTCTGTGTATGAGTTGCATTAGATTAGAAGGATTACTGTGAGAAGTTGAATCTGCACGCGATGGATTATTTTCCTATGTTTTTGTTATGTGGAGGCGATGGGAAGTAGTGCAGAGGTAATATGAAAAGAAAGGTGAACAGCGTGATGTATTTTGCTCCATAAATTTATTCAACTTTGGAGTTGGAGAACGAGAGGCGAGTTTTTTCTCGAACATTTAATTGGAGATATTCTTATGGACTTAGAACAGTTAATTTTTTTACCGAGATTATATCTTGGTAAAAATTTTGATGTGGTTGCATTCTAGAAGTACGTAACCTTGGTAACATTTGTTAAAAGCTTGGTATTGGGTGGCGCTGACTTGTAATCAACTATTCGGGTCGTGAAGCTTATTCCTGTCCACATGTCCAAACTGTTGTCGTATGTGGAAGTAATTAACTTAAATGGAAACTATCTAAATCATTGATGGATTGCATGTGGAGTCCATGAACTTTGTTACTGATATATTGTAGTGGTCTAAATCTACTGTTAGATATTTTTAGGTTTAACAAAATTAGAAATGATGTATTCTGCATTGTAGACTGCTGAAACAGATGGATCACAAAGAATGTGGTTAGTTATTATACATTTCGATTATTGCTAACTGCGATGAAGACATAATGAATAATGAGAAATATTAAAATTGTTCCTTTCAATTTTTTTTTTTGATTTTCGCATGTAAGATACTGACCAGAATGACCACTCAAAAAGTTACAGATTTTATGAATTCGATGCAATTTTTAAGCCGAGCATTAGAAAATGTTTAGAAATTTTATGATTGACATATGGTAACAGCTGTTATTGCAATGCACATGCACATTTTTGATATAAACGTATGGGTACTTTCATGATGTATAATCCAAGACGGTATTTTAATTTAAACTTCAAATTTGTCATAGCTGTCATAGATGGAAAATTAGCATACTTTGTAAGTGAATAAAATTGCTTGCAGCATCAGATTGATAGATATTACTTATTTCAATAACAATTACTGGAACTCTTTCAAAATCTCATAATTGCTGAACGAAATCGATCAAAAAATGTGAAGGAAATAAATAAAGCATAGCTTACTTTGAATAATCATTTATTTCAGTTATAAAATTACGAATTATGGTGATAATATTTGGTATTCCTTAATACGGAAAATAATAACCAGTTCTTAGCACTGATTTAAAAGTCTAATACTGCAAATATATGCAAAATTATGGCGTATTATCAACATGAAGAAATTTGATGCAAAAAGCCGGACTTTTAGAATTATTTGGTTTATTCAGCAGAATTTAAATATTTGAAATGACCTATAAAATCACTTGTCAAAAAGTAACATAAAAGTAACCAAAATTGTTGCAAATAAACTTTTAGAACGGAATAAAAAATGCAGAATTTTTACAGTACACGTACACGACATAGGATAAAGTGCACTATTTCACGTTACCAGAACATTATAGGATGAAAATCACTGAGAAGACAACCAGTTTTTAAAAACAATTTTTCTCTTATTACAATTTTCTGAGGTCGCAAAACTGATAAATTACAATTATCCATGAAAATGGATTTAGTACCAAAAAGAATGAAATGTGAGTGAATAAAAATTAACTTACATTAATGTGTCAAATTTTAAAGGTCAAAAAGTGATTAAATATTTCAACTTTTAAGCATGTAACCATCAGTGAGTGCACTGAACTAAAAATATTAAATTTTTCGCAAAATTAAATAGCATATTCTCAAATTTAATTGCAAACAAAGGATTTTAATTAGGAAAGAGCAAAGGATCAAGTTAGTTGCTTACTACAATTATGCTTATATTTGATATCTAATGTAACTTTGTCTCTCGTAGTCATAATCATATTCTCATCTCACCATTCCTTCTGATATTTTTCCCATCTAATTATTCCATAATCAACTAAAATTTTTAATTTTTCACTTCATTACACTTTCCTTTTTTATGTTTTTCTTTCTAAAAATCAAAATATTGAAAAAAAAATTAGGTAAAAGTCTTAAAAATGGCAATATTTAGTAGTATTTTGATGCAAAATATTTTCTAGATTTGTATCAGAACTTTTGCTACAAACAATACAATCATCTCTACTACAAATTTTTCATTTAAATAAGAAAATGCAAAAAGATACGATAGCATTTTTTGATTGAGTTTTTTTTACTTAAAAAATTTGATTTGAATTATTTTTAAAATAAAAATAAAAAGCAGTTTCAGTATGAATAGCTCTCTAAAATATTACGCCTTTATTTACGACCAGTGACATTCACTATCAATAATATCATTTCAAGAATAACTGATTTAATCGCAAATTATCACTTCATTCTGCTTCAATCAAATGATGCATTCATTTTGACTACAGCTGTACTTTATTATCCATACCCGTCAAAAAAATTGCAAGACAATAAACACATATGCGTTATAATATGGCTATTGTGTAATAATCAGCAATTTTGTGCAGTTTTACACATTAATCACAATGCATTTTTGTAATCATTCAAACTACAACTTAATAAGAGTAAAAATTGCTGATTATTAATATTTTATGCAGCTAATTATAAGGTAAATCACACGAAAGTGCAATTATATTATTTTTTTAATTTCAAATATTTTAAGCAGACAAAATGAGTAATTTAAGATGTTTGCTTATATGGCGTTTTAAGACTTTTACACAATGAAAATGTCAAATACTACGTTGTTTTCAATACTTTCTATTGTTGCTGCCAACTAGTTTATATAGAAAGTTTTGCATACAAATAGTTGGCATCGAGGCTTAACTTTTAAGTACATTTTTACTTACAGCCTATTTATATTAGACTTTCTCTTCCAGTACGGATTACACCTCAAAATAATTACTTTAAATTTTGTCTCTTACTTCATAAATTGTGTTTATAAAACTTTCACACACTTAGTTTATTGTATTAGCATGTAATATGCAGTAACACCTTCTTCATTACTATAAACACGTTGAATATTTTGATCTTACTTGCAACTTTTCACGTTTTCAATAATTTATTTATTTCAGTTGTAGTAATTAAAATTGCAGTGCATATGTATGTAATTAATATTGCTTTCGATTTTTTCTATGATCAGTTTTAAATACTAATTAACAATACATCAATTTCGAACAGATTCTGTGATATAGTTATTGCTTTATGATCATTTCTAAACTACCTGAAAAAAAGCACTCCCAAAATGAATACAATTTTAGACTTCATTTTCCACGATAAGTTTAAAAATTTCCAGCTGTTATAAATGGTGCGCTGTTTACATTTATTTCTAATTTGATGGGAAGATTGGTATCATTCGTTAAATAATTGATATGCGATTGCTACGGTGTGAGCGAAAAGTTTGATTCTCTTTTTCACTTCTTATAAATTTGAAGGACACTGTTAGATATTCTTATGAATTGCTATAAAAACTTGAATTTAGTTCCAGTCCAATACCATTTTGTTACAAATAATCTGTTCACTATAAATGGTATAATGATATTGAAACTTGATCAATTTTCATATGACGGAAGTATTAGATTTCCAAAATGCGATAAATAAGATAATACTTTGTGCACTGTTATCAGCGACGTTTTGTTATTGCTGATGGCAATATTATGACATATAATTTTATTGATACTCAATGTTGGTTGCATAAAAAAGTTTAGATAAACTGCGGAAAAGTTAGTAATCCGAGAAAACGTGATTTTCAACACGTTATTTGGATAAGACTTGACACGAAACAATGAAGACTTTTCAATAACAGCGAGCGACGTGAATGATTATAGGATTTATAATAGATAGATAAATCATCCGATTGTAAAATTTTTAAAAACTTCAAATCAAAATTTAATCACTAAATCACCAAACCTCAAGCATTTTTAATATTTGTAGAATATTATACCATGTTGCTTGCTGTTAGGTTTTCCAATCAAATTTAATTAAATAATAATTCCAAAAAAAACTGTCAAATCTTATTATTACTTGTTGTTTAGCGGAAATGGAAATATTTTAAAAAATAATAAGTTAAAAACTGAAAATTATGGTAGAAGGCTCATCAAGTGTAAATGCAAATTAAATACAATTAAACATATCCAATTATTTAATCCCAGTAATATTAATGTTCCATATTTACTACTACAAGTCTATAAAAAGATAAACGATAAATATATTATATAGATAGTTAGATAGATAAATAGATTATATGGATGCATGGATAATAGATGGATAGTTGAATGATGGTCAATTGTAGTTCACAATGCACAGTAGCTGCTTCAGTAACTTTCTACGGGGTTTGTTGACGGTCCCGACTGAGTATTGCTTAGGGCGGACGAGGGGGTAAATGGTTCAGTCGATAAAAAGCAGTTTTATTTTTAAAATTGTCGACTGCATCAGTGTTAATGATAGAAATTTCGGGCATTACTGCAATTTCGCCTTCATCAGTTTGTCATTTAATTACTTAAATTTCTATCACTGCGCATCAATGTTGCTGGATTATTTCTGTTTTATCAATAATTTTTTCTTGTAGGATTTTACCTTGTATCATTCATTTGAATACCCTTTTTTAATACTATTCACGCGCAAACTTTTCTGCCCATTCTGTCTGTTCGCAACATAAATTCATGAAATTACCAACAAAGTAATACATCTTGCATTTGCGTCCATTTAAGTTCTTTATCGTTCTATCAAAAGCTATCAGTAACCGATGAAATTGCAGTATTTTTTTTCCGCTACTTCTTCACTTGTAGTTAAATTATTGCTTTGATTGTACTAAACTATCATTTTGTCTGCACATTTTTGTTTGCTAAATTTCGCTCTTAGTAATATGTCATATTTTTTTGAGAATTCATATAAGACATGATGAATGATTTTTCTGCTAATTTTAGCGCCATCATTTTATGCTAATTATGCATGCGTTGAGGATTTGATGTGCACAGTTCAAAAAATATGCAGAGTGTCATTTCTCAAATAAATCAGTGCTATTTTGCTTTTTTTTGGAATAAGAGAGTCAATTTCTGACGCTTTTAATAGCACTATTTAGTATTACTTTTTTAATCGTCTTCATTACTTTTCATTTTTTGCACTCAAAAAAATAAAGGCATTTTTAATTTGCTAGAAACAGAACAATTAAAACTACTGTGCTATTTGCTCACTTCTTTACACAAACAATAGCGCTGTCATCATTTACGCCACGTATCTCTCATCCAACCCTCTGAGAAAATTCCTCTTCATCCAAGTACTTGTCACTTGTTTTGAAGAAAAAAGTCTATTAACATATATGTCATCAATCAGTTATCAGTACTATCAATACTAACAGTATTTCCATTATTTTCATTCGTACAAAACTTTCCAAAATCGCATCCATCAGGAACAATTTGTTTGAATTGAAGTGAAGAGAAAAAGGCAAGAAGAAGATTAGGAGAAAGACAAGAACAATAAGTCCTTGCAATAATAGTTTAATTTCAATCTGCTGCTTGATTGAAAATGATAGATGAAAGTTGTGATTTTATTAGAATCGTTAATAAGAACTAACAAGAGTGAATAATTAGTAATATTTCTTACATTATACTCATTCTTCAAAAGAGATTTGGTATAATTAATTAGCTCGGAGTCGTAAAAGTTTATTGCATTTTTTCTTTGGCAATTTGCTTTTTTAGAAGTTTGATTTCACGTTCCAAACTCAACAAACGCTTCATGCCTAGCATTTCTTCTAATTCAGTGAATGAAGTAAGAATTCATATTGTTTCAAATTTACAAGCAAAAATAAGGATAATTATTCAAGTTTCAAGAAAAAGTTTGCAGTTTGCTTACGAAGGAAAGACTGCTTTGACCAAATCCATAACTTTTAAAATTTGATGTGTGCAGTGCTACGCAATATTTCATAAAATAAAGCTCAATAGTTTTTAATTAGAAGAAATTGCTATAATAAAAATAGGAATAGAGTTGTTTTATAGAAGAATCAAATAAGGACAATTTCAATATTATTTTAATTTTACTTGAAAATATATCACAAATTTAAAACAGTCCTTGTTTCAATGCAAAATTTTTATTCTGATTTTAAGTAGTGCGTAAGAAAAAAGAGATTCTTTGAGTATTTCGTTCTCTTTTGAATACCAAATCGTTGCTTTGGATTTTGTCTTTCATTCTATCTTAATATTTAGATCAGTTTCCAATTATATGAGAAGGCTTAATTTTCTGACTCGAATATTTTAAAATACCGAATTAAAGGCAAACATTAAGTCTGCAAAATATAATTCAAATAGTTCTGTTTCAATTATATTTTACAGTGTTTGGTTTTTAAAATTGCAAATAAATCACAACAGCAATGCTTTTGTAACCTAATCATCAATTTGAGAGAAAAAAGTAATTTCTTCATTTTTGAAATGCTACCAATTCTTAACAAAAATTATAGTATGATAGTAATGAATGACTTCTATAATTGGTATCAGTCTTATCATTTGTGTACAGTCAATGACACTTTCATTTGTAAAGTGACTTTAGAAAAGTCCGATAATTTTATTTTAAAGTACACGTATTTAGAATCTCAACGTACTGAATTCAAGAATTATTTCATTTAGCCTTGAATAGAAGAGAATTATCAGCTGTATATTTTGCACTTATAACTATACCCTGATTGAATCAGATGGTTTTTATTAAAATCAAGTAAATTAATTACAAGAATAAAAATAAGGACTAGATAAAAATTATCGTTCATGCATTCATTCATTCTTTTGCCAAAAGTCATTTTATTTGCATTTATTTCTAACCTGTAAATTTAGTTCACCAATTTTAAAAACGATAATGGGCAAGAGTAGATTCAGTGCAACTGGCAAGGTTTAAGAGATACTACTTTTGTGCATCTAAAAATAAATTCGGGTTTAAATTGAAATGTCGACTGAAAAATCATAAAGATTAGTTTACTATTTTGGTGGAACGCGCTTCAGAAAATGCTGAATTAAAGGTCCATTTAAGTTATTGAAATTGTGCACTGATAAATCTATTATTTTCTAGTAGAGTATTGCAGAAGGAAGTAGATACAAATTGATTCATTCTGGTAGATATCAATTTTTACTCATTCATAATCATATTTAATATTTTATGCTTTTTCATTCTTACACTAAGTCATCTAAATGCGTAATCGGTTGGAATAAAAAAAGATGAAACTTCAAAAATAATGAGGAAATTTTTGAAAAAGTTCAAGTCTTACTACGTCATTTTATTGGTAAATTTTTTTGGCAAATAGTGTTTATTTTGAATTTTAATAAAGAAGCAAATTGCCATTTTCCATCATTTACGGAAGGTTATTACTCCGTAATAATTACTGCTAAAAATAATTCATAAAATAAATATGAATGTAATTTTATTGCTATAATAAAATCACGCAGACTTTTTATCAAATAGTTAAGAAGAAATTTTTAATGAATGTTGTAGTGACTGCATTAAATTTTTACAACAGTTATATGCAAAGAAAAAATGATGCAAAATTTTATTATCAATTCTATGTTTTGTCTACTTTATCACCCTTCGTTTTTATCTAAAATAAGAACAAAAACATAATTGCTTTCATTTATATAATAATAATAATAATTATTATTATTATTATTATCATTATTATTATTGTTTGTGCCCCACTACTATTTTTAGTAAACATCTGAATACTATTTGAAAAGAGAAGATAGAAAAAATGTTACAAATTCATATTTAAATTTTCAGGAAAAAATTTTTAAGGAAGCAAAAAGGACTGTTGTCTTATGAAAATTTTGTAAAAAACTTTTCTTATTATCCTTTTTTGAATATCATTGATTTTTCTTCTTATTTAATTTAAAATGAATTCAAAATCAAATTATTTCGGAAAATGAATATTATCATTATGCTAATCTATATTTTGTCTTTATTTTTCCAATTAATTTGCGAAAATTTATAGTTTTCAACTATTTAGTAATTATAGTTCTCTTGAGTACTGTCCACCACATTTATAAAATAATTGTCTTTACAGTACTCTGATAATTGAAGATAATGAATATGTGTTAAATTTTTGAACAAATTAAATCAGAAAACCAATCTTTTTAACGGTTGCTGATGATGCCCTAATTTTTTGCTTTCGTTTACTGTGTCGGATGGGCAGAGACAAATTATTTTGCTATTTTCACGATGTGATAGAATTTAAAAAATTTAATTAGATTTCAGTATGACCGATATCCATTATCAAATCAGATGCACTTCAGCAAACAATTTTTGCTGCTTTATTACCAATTTAGTTCATATTTATGCATTTTTAGGATAAAATTTCATTGCAGCTAATTTGAATTTGTTACAAAATAAATTATTTTTTGAGTAAATCAAACTAGCATAATGTGTGTACTGAATGAAGTTAGCAAAGACGCTATTTTCTTGGCTTCGTCCTTTTTTAAATGTCATCTATTCATTTGACTATCTTCTACCAATGACTTTTTAAATTAATTCTTCAATTAGAAGAAGTAATTTCTTTGTGATTTATTTATGCGGCAGTTTCAAGCCAATTGCAATGGAATTTTAACGTTTCTGATTCAGATATTAATACAAACAATGACGGATTCAAGAAATAATCAACTTTTTTTACATTTAGGAAGTTTGGCTTAAAAATTATTTCACTCTCAGTTTTCATCTATGTAGTGAAAAGAAAGCTTATGCTTTTTTTATGCCTGAAGGAATTTTTAAGCAATATTAAAAGATTCTTTTATAAATAACACATCCGTTCACATCCGTTCATTGCTTGAACAATAAATAAATGCCATTTTTTTGCAGAATTATTTATAAAATAATGCACATGAAGTTCAGTTACATCCGAACTTGAAATTAATGTTTGGTAATGGTAATGGATAATAACTACAAGCAGTTTATATAATCTGATGATTTTAACAATGCAGATAATTGACTTATTTTTTCAAGCTGTACTTCTAATTTTATTTAACAAATGCCATGGATTAAATCCATTATGTAATATTTACGATCCATTCCGAATACAACCAGATGATAATAAAGTATGTTGCTTGCAACTTTCAAATATTTTAATTATTTCATCAAGGAAATTATCATGCATTTGCGTGAAGTACCAGTTAAAATGTAATAATGTTGAGCATTTTAACTTATAATTGTAAAACTTATTCTATATTATGAGACGAAACAATGATTTTAGAATATTCTTCTACACATGAATTTGAAATTAGTGTTTGGTATATATTGAATAATTAGTAATAATATCTTAAATAAAACTTATATGAACTTATTAGATACTTATAAAAGTTTAGTAATTATAGTATCAGATCGGTGCAACGTTTCCGTTGCACGAAAAAGACTGCTTAAAATTACGAGTGGAAACAGTTCAAGATATTGTAGCTGTTCAGTGGGCGCTTACACATTGGAATCAAAATTCAAAAACAAGCCAGATGAAAACTGGTTCCTTTTCATACTTATTTTTCATTTTTTATCTTTTTTTTCCTACTTTTCAAGTTAATGCATTTTGATTACTTCTTTTTTTCAATAGCTATTTGTTCATATTTTTTGTTTTTCAATGATGCACAGAAAATTAAATGATCTAAAAAACTTTCCACAATTTGTTCCATTTTTTTTAGCAAATAAATTACGTCATATTTTGTTCACATATATCTATTTCAAATTTAAAATATATTTAAGCAATTTTTACTATTACAGGTCTTTATGCGGGTGATACTTGTTCAAAACCTAAAGAAGCTATTTCTCAAACTCTCAAATTTTTGGACTCGCTTAACTTTTATGAACCTGATGAATGCAACACAAGAAATCAAAATGTGCGCAATCTTCTTGGTACAAATAATTTTTAACTTGATACTATGATCATATATTGATTGCTTTGATAAGTGAAAATAAACTTGACACTTGTAAATATACACTCTTTTAAGTAGTACTCTTTAATTTAGTACAAATTTCAGGATTAATTTTACCAAAAGATGCTCTGTCAGCAAAATCAGTTGCTTCAATTTTTCAAACTACACCACTACCACTTCTAACATACAGTTATAAGGCAGCCGATGTATTAGCACAAATGAAGTTTCCGTATTTTGCAACAACTGCTCCAACTTTAGACGTTTTCATCGATGTGTGCTTTCAGTCTAATTTATTTAATCAAACTTAATTATTAGACAAAAAATTTTGTATTCTAACTTGAACAATAACTTCTTGTAATTTCAGAAAGCACGTTGAAATTTTGATGAGTAGTTTTAATTTTAGATAAAAGTAGCAACTGTGTCATTGCAAAGCATAAATATTCATTATTTCTTGGTGAAAAAATTTTTTTAAAATACTTGTTAATTTTTTAATACAAAATAAGCCAACGGATTTTTGCTATCATTACAAATTTCAGGCGTTTATTAGATTAATGAAAAACATGAATAGCAACTTGGTAGCAATTGTTAGCAGGAATGAGGACGAAATTCTGGTAAATTATATTGTTGAAAAATTACGACAAAAAAACATTTTTGTCTCTGAACTAATCAATCCGAAGATTGCGCATTTTGATCAAATTATACAAGAATCTGATAGCCAGATCATATTTACGCCTTTATCCAGATCTGAGGTAATTTCTGCTTGTTGTTGCTTTTTTTTTTAGTTTTTCTGATTATTAAATGGTTAAATTGAACTGAATTGAATTGAACTGAATTGATTGAAGTATATACTTTTCTGGTAAAAAAATGAAAAATGACAAAAGTCAAGTGAAGTGAGCAATCATTTCAGTGAATTTAATATTTTTATATTATTTATTTCAGTAAATTTTCATCACAAAGATTTTACTTGCATGTATTTAGACGGCTCTTAAAGAAAAATTCATAATTGTTTATTTTGGACCAGAAAAAAAACGAAAAAAGCAATGGATTATTTTTATTCCAGACTTCTACCACTCCTGTTGCTCCCAAATTATTTTTCTATAATACACCCGTTATCGCTCTCATAATGAATATATTAGTAATCAATCCTTACACATTAATACTTAATTTTTTTTTGTAGATAGCAAAGTTACTTTCTGGCACAAGCACTGGAAGTGATAAAACATGGGTTATCATTGAGCTGGATGCAAATGAACAGCGGTCTGGAGAAGAATCATCGCAGTCTTCAATAAATTCGGATACTCAGGTGTTAATTATTATATTATCTGAGATTATAATACGTCAAAAATATGCTTTTATTATTTGAATATCTCTTCGTATTTAGATAATATATCTTCGTCAACAACAACGTGATTTACCTCATTTCAAAAACTATTTCTTGAGAGTGCTGAAAAACAATTACCAATCTTATTCTCTGCTTAATTCACTTATGCAGCAAGTAAGTAATTTTACTTTAAGTTTGAATTTAATAATTTTTCAAGCTGATTGATTATGTTGATAAAATTTCCGAAGCATTCTTTGTCGGATTAATTTCTGTTCCGAAGAATTTATCTGAAGTTATGAAAATTGTCTTGAATATCATTAAGATGCAATTAGAATCAGAAGGTTTTAGATGTACAACTGTACAGTCGGAGGTGAAAACAAGGATAATGATTGCTCCAAAGTTGACTTGCAAACAATGGCACTTACTTACAAACAGGCATCAACGGTTGAATCGGTGATAAGAGCTGTTTATGCATTTACTGCAGTGGCTATTAAATTAGAAGCAAATCCCAAAATATCCGGAAAATGGTAAATTCAATCAAATTTTGGCCAAAGTATTCACTCTACTTCAAATTGCTAATTTTAATATTTCATGAACTAATTTTGAAAATATAAATTTTTTAACTGCATTAATCAAATTTTTTCAACTTATTATTCAATATTTTAGCATTTATTACATTTTTGAAATCTAAGAATGAGAAAGAAGTAGCACAGTTAAATGTTATGCATATTTTGAAAACAAAAATGATCCTAGATTCCATCGAAACTATGATCAAATTTTGCTTTAATTATTGACAAAATAAAAATGAAGGAAGTTCTAAAAATAGTGAATGTATAGTTTGTGATGAAAGCATTTCTAGCAGTTTATGATATCTGATTATTGTTGCTACGTCAGATCTCAGTTACTAAACTAATAATGCATAAATGAGTATATGGATAAAAAATAAGAAAGTAAATGAGTGAAGTAGTATATTGAAGTGTTTTCAAGTAAGAAGCCATCCGTAGAATGTACAAAATTAATCATGGAAGAAATAGGATCATTAATATATGAGTTTGATTCGAATGATCCAGCTGAATTGATTGGAACAAATTTACATTTTTACTTGGAATCAAATACAACACTTATATCAAATGGGATTGTAATTGAAGGAATAGAAGTCATAAATGATGAAAAAATGAATCCACGAGAAGTTAAAGTATGTATGCATGCATTACTTTTGTTTATAACTTGAAAAATTTTTAATCATAGTGCATTTTTCTGTGATAACAAAGGATATGAGTGCATTAAGTTGCTTGCCATAATAAATTGTATGATATAATAGCTTATCTAGCAAAAAAGAACTATAGCATTTATCATTTTGTTATCAAATGTATTGGCTATTTGAAATTTGAATATCAAAAGTATAGTCATTACTTTCAATTTAATATTAATATGGAAATTTGCAAAAAATAAATAAGCTGAATTTTGGTAATACTTTTAGATTGAAATTGCCCAATTAAGCAAAATATAATATTAAACAAAGTAAACAAGAAGAGATTTTTGTTCAATTAAAACTAATTTTATCACATAATATCAGTTATTTTTACTTTCTATACATTTCTTCTAATGCTTAATTGTTGTAATACAGAAATTTATTGCACTTTGCTGCAATAAATTATTTAACAAAATTTGTTAGATTATGGAATATGAAACTGGTCTTAAGCCAAGATTTGCAATGACCTCACCTCATCGTAAACCAATTCATTCTGCATGTGCTCCTTATCGGCCGTATTGTGGGCAATGCTCTTACATAGCAAACATTGATCAAAAGGTTTTTTTATCATTTGAACTCATCTAATTAACCAATTAGTTAATTAATTAAATATTAAAATGCATAAAAATTAACTTTAAAAAAGATCTTATATACTTCCAGTGAAACTTAAAGTTAGCAAGAAAAAATAATATTTTTTGATAAATTCAAATTCTTTTACTGATATATTTGCAAAATGAGATTGTTTCTTCTGCTGATCGTTCTCTTTCAGAGGTTTTACTTACCTGATCCTCGGCCACATCCTCTATATATTACTGGCTTGTTTAATTTTCATGGTGGTCGCTCTTGTCAGTCATACAGAAATTCAGACATATCTCTTCCACTTGCTTTCCTGCACACAGTAAATATTTTAATAAATAGTTAATAAATATTTGAAATAATTATTATTCAAAAAAACTATTTATTTTTTGAGAACTTTGCAGATGACGACTTTCTCACAGAGGTATTCAGAAATTACCTTACTTCAAAATCTTGAAATTGGTGCTGTACTAATAGATTCATGCTCGTCAGCACGGAAGGCCCTTGAAACTGTCGTACTCACAGAAAATCACTGCTTCACTATTGAACGTGGTGGTCATAATGTAACTATAGTGCCTGGATCTATCATTGGCAAGTCTTCACTGTCATTTCTACTCTAAACATTAACTCCTTTTTGATACATTTCTTACAAAATTATAAAAAATTTACAAGCGATATTTGAGATTCTTAAAGCTTCTCTCACTGATTGTTTATAAATATGCAAATTTGTTCAGCAACTTTGTAATCAAGCATCGTTTCACCTATTATGAGCATGAAAATAGCGCAATTTTTCATTCTAAGCTACTGCTTCAAATATCAAAATTATAAGCTTTTTAATCTATTACTTACTTGTTTTATTTAAAATTACTGTCATTATTTATCTGTGTTACAGCAAACTGAATTATTATTTAACTATGTTATAGCAAATTTTCAATTTGTCTTTAGTCTTTTCTTCTTAAATATTAAAATTTGTAAGTAAAAAACAGGAATATTCAGGATATGCATCGTCTTTATATGGTCGAGTAGCAGAGACACTGAAAGGATTATTTGCTTCGGGAGATAATTTACTGATATCACTAGATGCCGATCATGACATAGCATTTAATGCATTTTCTGCGATACCATCTAAAAAGCATGAAACTCTAGCGCTCTTATTACTGCTCAAAAAATTCTCATGGGAGTATATTTCAATCGTTATTTCTAATCAGGTTAGTTTCCACTTTTATTTTTACATTCTTACTAAATAGAGAATAAAGTTAAAGATCGAGAAAAATAAATATTACATAGTGATTTTATTATTTTTTCTGTACATGCTTGCAAGTGAACTTAAATGTGAGTTAGTGTATTAAGGAGATGTTCAGAGTAAACGAATACTCACAATAAATTTTAGCTTTTATATTCAAGAAGTCAGCCTTCGTAAACATCTGATTAAAAGTATTATATTGAGATCATTGACAAATTTTTTTGTATTCAATAACAGTAATCGTTTTCTCATATGACAAAACAAATTGCTGAATATTTTTCCTTCCCATTGAAAAATATGCTTGAATAAGATTAAATTTATTCCTTTTTTAGCTCACTGTTTTTAATTATTACTGTTGAAAATTAATTCATTTACTTATTTGGTGTAAATTTAGCAACTAAAAGTCATAATTAAAAAGATAAAATCATCTTACATGCAGAATGTCTTGCTAAATTATTATCTGCAGTCAGAAACCAGTTGCATCGCAATAATATACGGAGTTTAAAGCAACATTAATGGCAAACAAATCACAGTTATTAAATAAAGAAAGCTTTTATAAATGATAATGTCACGTTTGTAGAATTGACTAGAGTTAAAATTCATTTCAGTTTGAAAATTTTGTAACTCTCTTTGTTGCATTTCCAAAAAATGATTCTGCAATTTGCGTTGCCTGAGATCGAAATTTTCTTGACTTTAATCAAATAGGTCAAATTATGTAACTGTTACTCTTATTTGAAAATAGTGACTGAACTGCAAAATATTTCAGGAAAGCTCTTTAATGAGTACTTATCGACTATTTGAAAAATTGGCAATGGAGAATGGAATCTGCATAGCTGAAGTTAAAATAGTAAATGGCGAAGAAGTTGATTCATTGTCAACTGCTAATGTCACTATACTTTTCACCACAGCGTCTGATGCAGCAACGTACTTTGCCTCAAAATTCCGCAAAGGTAAAATTCTCAAATTCAGAATTAATATGCAGTAACAGAAATCTTTCATACTATTGTCTATACAGTATACAAAAATTATTATTACATGTATCAAAACTTGCGGTATAGTATATGCTATTTAAATGCAATTACATGCAGTTCATTATTAACCATTTACTATACTAATATATACATGAATACTTTTTGCAAAAAAACATTATGACAATATGTTATACCTTACTTTCTAAATTAAATTACCAGAAAAGAAAGCAAATTCAATGTGAAATAAATCTGCACTATTAGTTGCTGGTTACGTTAATATGTAAGAAACTTTTCTTTAAAGTTTTATACGTTTTCTCAATGACATGAATTGAAGTGATCAAATTTGATATTTAGTCTTTTGTAAAATCTAATGCTTAATAAATAAATTATCTTCATAATTTAATTTTCGTGAAATTGTTGGATTTACAAAAAGTAAAGTTTAAGAGAATTTTTATGTTCATCAAAAGGACTTCAAATCTATTTAGAGTTGCATTATCCTCATGTACACATTGTAATTGGTGATGCCCACGACTTCTATCTACATGATCCATCCAATATTGCCAGATTTGTTGGTACAATATCTTTACAACCAAAAGTATGGGTTTCAAAAATTTAATGCGTAATAAATGAATTAAAACAGATTAAAAATATCTGAAAGCACGATTTCTAGTTTTTTTGCAGGATGTGATATATGATGAATTTCGAACTTGGTTAGAAGAAGCTACACCACTTAGTTTAACAGAAGAATGGTATTGGGAATATGTAGAGAACAGATGGCAGTGTGCTTTGTCAGAAGCAAATCGGCATTTTTATGACGGAAAAATGTGCACTGGTGATGAGTTACTAGACATACCCAGCTTAGGTATCCCAATTTATAATGCATTAAGTATACCAAATTTAAAAATTAAAGAAATAAAAATAGTAAAAATAGTAATGCACATTAAATGCAAAACAGTACTGCGTCTAAGAGATGGAAAGTTTGTGAATTTAAATAATGCTTCATTTGTTTAATTTCTGAATAATTTGATGCTTACCAAACTGACAAATGGTGAAAATTAGTTCTGCAGGAAGAATGACGAAAAGCGGATATTTGGCACTCGGTTTGGAGCGTTTCTTGTTTGCTCTTGACGCTGTTTACAAGCAATTGTGTCCTGAACAAAATGGAGTTTGCGAAGCGTTTTATGTGAAGGGTCGTGAGCAAATTTCCAAAATCCTTAAAAAAGCGCATATTGATGATGATTTTGATATTTACGAGTTCTTACCAGATGGACAAGGTGATTAACTAATTTTCAAAGCTTACTAGCATCCATAATTTAGTAAAATCTCTCATCTTAACAAGGTTCCAACTAATTCCCATTGCTTTAGTTTCCCTTCAATGATTAAAAAGTGATGTGTAGTTGATAAGTTTTTCTTGAAAGCTATCATACTTTGAAAATTTAGCAAATATAATATGTGTAGCTAAAGTTTCAGGCTCATATTCATACAAAAACATTGGAAACTACTCATCTAAAAGTGGTTTTAAATTTTCTGAATCTTATAGATATTTTGATGTTCTTGGAAATCAAATTTCAGATGAAGTGTCGCATTTAAGGTACTAGAAAACATTTGATTTTTTCTTTCCTATACTGTATTGATAAGAATTTGCATAGATTTTAATTTGATTCGTTTATATTACTTTAAGAAAAGTATTAAATTAAGGATAAAATCACAATGCATTTCATCGTCGTGCAAATGCTTTACGGGCATGAAGTCAATGCAAATGTCATCTTCAGTGTTTGATGAGAGTGCTGCATATGCTGGGTCATATATCCGTCGTGTGCCTACCAATGATGCTTTTCATCATATTCGATCATTATCTGTAAACATGAGATGTTTTCTCAAGAATTTGATAAGCTGCTTGCATTAAATTAGCCAAAAAATATAAACGCAAACGATTTTGTATTTTTGTGTGTTCAACTTTTATCATTCAAATAGTAACTAAATATACCTTGTTTACAGTTAAAATTTTCACATACTTTTACTCTTGAAGATTTTGGATCGATTGACAGCAGGTCGATGGCGATTGCAAACATGGAATTACGCTTTAGCAGCTATAATTACGGTTATGGTGATCGGTGCGATTGGAGTACTGCTTCTTGCAATAATCAAACTTTATTTGCGAGTGATTAAAGGTAATCAATCGTTAGGATTATCACTTCTGATTGGAGTAATTATCCTTTACATCACTGGATATGGTTTTGTGTTCGAAGCTACAGATATCGTTAGTTTTGTTTTCATATTTTTTTAATGAAATTTTGAAATATTTATTCATTTTAAACAAAAAAAGGCTTCAAATAGCCAACATACCAATGTATATGAAATCACTAATTTAAAATTCAATAAATCCATTTATATCTTCAATATACTTGCAGGTTTGTCGATTTCGTATTATATTACACCCTGTTGGTTATGCATTTTGTTTTGCAGTAATAATTGCTAAAGCAACACAATTAAAAAATGCTGAATCAATGGGATTTTCTGATGATATTCACATTAGTTATTGGAATTACTGGCTTCTGTTGTTCTTCATAACAGGAGTTCAAATTGCGCTTTCGTTAAAGCAAGTATTAATTGCTAAAAAATGCATCAATGCTAAGAAATAATACGCATGATATAAAAAACTAGAAAATAATTAATGAATAAGACTAAAATTAAAAACAGCATTTCTTGAATTTACAATGAATTACAAATAAGTAAATAAAATTCGTAAAATGAATTTTAAATAAATTTTGTAATAATTATTAAAAATTTTGCCTTCAAGCAATTTGCTTTTAGATGGTTAATGATTGATTTTGCATCAGTTGTAATCGTGGAAGATGAACAACCTCATTTAGTTTGTCGCTATGGAAATGATGAATTTTTGTTATCTCAATCCTATGTCATCATGCTTTTACTTCTGGCACTGTACATTAGCAGTACGAGCAAAAACATCAAAAGAAATTATAAAGTAAATATTTGAAAGGGAAATGAATCTTAAATAAATTCATTACAAAACAGTATAACTGTAAAGTCATTCTTAAAGCACAATTTTTAGGAAACAAAATGGCTTTTCATATCGTCTTTGAGTTGTGCTGTCTTGTGGATTATGTGGATTACGGCATTTGTTTTGGTCCCATTACCATATAAGGTTTTTTCTATTTACTTATTATTTATCATCTTATTTTTATTACAAATTTCTCTTTTTATTCATCATAAAAATATATGGAAAGAACGAAAAAATTAAATATGCAGGATACAGTGATCGTCGTTGAATTACTTCTGTGTGCATCTGTTTTACTTGGGTTTGTTTTTGGTCCCAAAATATATATAATGCTATCCTACGAGTCAGTTGTTGTTGAAATGCATCCTCAGCACACAATGAAAGATTTTGTGTCCGACAGTGAGCTATTTGAAAAAAGTAAAATTATAGCTATAAAAAATATTTTCTTATTTGTTCAATATTACTATATAATTGGATAGAATTTGTATAATTTATACCTACTGACAAACAATTATAGACATCTGAAAATATGTTATAATTACTTCAGGAAGATTTTTCATTGAATCAATTTTCGTGATCAGTAATGGCTGTTACAGAAGCGTTTAGATTGTGATGAACTAAAGAATGAACTTAAAATAAATCTCAGTATTTTGCATCAAAAATTTTAAATTTGCCTTATAGACGAAGATTCAAAGCAAACATGTTCGCCATCGAGTAGTGTAGAGTCTAGAAAAAGTCGCACTCAGTCAACATGCAGTGTTACTAATTGTAAAAACTTATCAGCCAGCAAGAGACCAGATGCAGATGATGATCAGGTGAGACTTCAAGTTTTCTATATTATTTAAGTATAAACTCAAATATAGGTGTGTATTGGCAAATGTTGTCGTTAATATTGATAATTTTAAGATTCCAATATTTCGCACCGTAATGCGAAAAAAAACACATTTGCGAAGATCACAATCCGCAGATCGACAAAATTTAAATCGAATCATTCAGCAACCATCACTGCCATCTAAAGTTATAAAGTGCCAGTATAGAAAGGAAGGAAATGGGAATTATTTTCCTCACACTACTCATGCAAGCCGAATGAGTGACATTGCAAAAATTTGCTAAAAGGTTGCTAACATTTGCAAAAGTTAAAACTATTCTCAGAATGATTTTAAAAACTGCAAAGTATTTATCACTGAAAAAGTAAAGAAATAAAAATTTAGTGCTCTAATCTTAATGTGCTTCCAAATTATCACTCTTTATTAAAATTTAAAAAATTTGAAAGATTTGCCGTATATTGAATCAATCGCTGACTTATGTGAAGAAAACAATTTTCTGCAAAGAGTTTAGCTTTTTAAGAAATTAATCTATCACTGAAACAGATAAACTTTTTTGCAGAATATTTCAGTGCCATGAATCACTACCTTATTTCTTCTCGAGTTTGCAATTATTACAGAAAGACGGGAATTGGAAGGAAATTTGCCTGCTTCACTTTGATATTTTGCATTCTAATTGAGTGAAAATAATGTCCAATTTTGTAAAATATTTGCTTAGATAAGAACTATTAGATATTGTTACATTACTACTAGCATAATTTCATTCTCATAATTTATGATCAGTATAGTTTGTACGTTTACTTCATCTATCAAATGCATGCATACACATGCATTACACAATGCAATGACTTTCAACCAAGTAACTTTGTGAAACTTTTTTTGAAATATTAAATTAAATAAATGAGAAATTCAATAAAGTTTTAGATTATTTTTAACATTCTGATGATTAATTCTCCAGCCATTTTATATCCATCAAAAAAATGCTTGCTTGTCATAATACTAACTAAAGTGCAACTGACTTTGATGTCTTAACTTCGTAAGTACAGTGAGTTTTTTGCATAATTGATAGGCTTTTTTTGGTGGTTAGATGGAATAAATATTTTTGTCTGCAAAACTGCATTGAAATGAATAAGGTTGAAGTCAGTCACTGAAGAATGATTGCTTTGACATTTCAATCACCCAAATTATTTCTTTTTTTTGATTCCAAACTTATTACTTTTAATCATTGCTTTAATCCACGTAAAAGTATAGATGAAGTTGATGATAGCAAAAATATTACTCATTACAATGTCTTAGCCATTTTATAAAAAAGAATTACAAAAATCAAGCATTGATTTTTTAATATTTGAAAATATTAATTAAAGTTATAATAATAGTTTTCAGTTCTGATTGCTTTCAGCATTTTACTGAAAGCAAATGACTCTGCGCATATATACGATAAGCAGTAAGAATGATGATTAATATGTGATTAAAAATATAAATAGTGAGTAAGATGTAGTTTATAATTTATTCTTGAGACGATGATTGTTCAGTTGTGCTTTGCGGCTTCACATCTGGTTTAACCGTGCTTGCTACTAACTTGATAGGAATCGTTCTTTCAATGCCATCTTCCTGAAAATTTACGAACATCTATGAAAAGTCAATTCATTGTCATGTAGTTACTTCAGCATATTGCTGCTAATTTTTGTGAAATTTTTACTTCATTATTAAAGTAGAAAAAAACCTTATGTCGTGGAGCACTTGCGGTAACACTAAGATGTCCATCTGCAGTAAGATTACTTGTCACTGCATCAGCTGGTATGCTTGGGGGCAAATTAAACTTCCTGTAAAATATGTAAAATTTGCAATATAAAAAGCTTCTCATAACCTTTTACAATAATAATTCAAATAATGTGCCTGATCAAATGGTGCTCCATGATACCGAACTTATCTTCACGTTCGCCATGTTTAGCTTCAATGACTATAAAAGAATTTACCACAGAGACCTGAATTTCAATTTGTATGAACCTTCGTGATATTCTTGAAAGTCTTTATATATAATATCTATGAATCCTTAATGAGTTTACAAAAAAATCACAATCATAATATGCCATTTTAAAAAATATTGTCAGTAATAAAGTAGTATAGCAGAATAAAACAAAAATTTTTTAATGAATGAACGAAATATTTGTTCAATAGTTATATTCATTTATTGTGAATTACAGTGAAATGAGAATTCAGCTTGAAAAAAAAACATATTTTACAACTACTTTCATCGATTGCGTTTACTGGAAGACTCTTCAGACTGCTAAACAAAGCTTAAAATTACGATGAGGTATATCTTTTAAAAAAATGTAACTATAATATTTTTTGAATTCCACTAAAGTGAATTTTATAAAAGGTTAATTAAAATTTAACTATGCGTAATTAAATAACAGTAAAAATTATTACTTAAAATAGAAAATAATGAATAATTTGTTTAATACGAAAAATTTCTGAGCTAAAGTATTGTCGTTTAAATTTAATTTGCATCTTTTTACACGCATGAATATTCTATTTAAATTGTAAGATTAAATCATCACTTTTTCTTATTTTTATCGCGATAAATTTTCCATTATCTTATCACATGTCTGAAGCAAAAACTTTTAATGCTCTTAATTGTTATATTTTATCAAACAAGCTGAGGTGCAGTAAAAAACTTGGGAAATTTCATTACTAATTTCGATAATTAAAGCACAAGTTATAGTTTTCAATTGAAATTATTTAAAAGTTGAAAAATATTTGAAAGGCAAGGCATACTTTCAAATCTTCTGGCTTGAACTGAGATAAGTCTATTTGTACATAAAAATAATCATCACTTTGATGATATGTTGTTATCAAACCAGCTCCTGTTCCCGATGAACTCAGAGAAGTTAACGATATTGGTGGCTGCAAATTTATAAACTCGTTTTTTTCTTTTTAAAATAGAAGAAAAAAAAAGGGTAGGATTCCATGTGTCAGCCCAGAAACTATTAAAATATAACAAATATGATTGTTTTGATGAATTTTCAAGTAGGCGAGAAAAAAATGAGTACATGCAACGATGATCCTATGTTAGATACATGCAAAGGTGAAACAATGCGAGTAATTTGAGGTCCTTCTTCAATGATTCGCTTTTCATATGTACGATTGTAAGATGATGTTCGATTGTACGCTGATGAAGATGACATTTTCTCGGATTTTTCACTTAAAAATTATCAGTATTAATCATTCTCATCTAGAATTTCGGAAAATTTCAAAAAATGTGTCAAAAATTATTGCACTATCATGAGCAATATATTGAAAAATAATGAAAAAAGATCATTTGGAAGCATTTTGGAATCACAAATCAGCACTAATTGTGGCAAAGAAAATGTTCATCATTGCATATTATTAACCGAGTAGAGTTGAAAAGTTTAGTTTACTTAATTTATGCCAACAAAGTGTATATTTAAGTTGACGCGAGCAATTTTTTATCTCAATATTAGCAATCAAAGAAGGAAATTACTGTTTCAATTTAAATATTAGTAACAGATTATGACAACAAATTGTCTGTAAGTAAATGGATCAGAGAAAGGATTAAATTGCACTGAAAAAATTATAATACAGAATTACTACTTAATCTTATTAATCCTATCATCAGCAAAATGATGCTTTCAAGACATCATTCATGGCAAATTAAAGCATATTATCATATAGCATCAGTTAATAGTGTGCATTTGTTTCCATTTAAGTATGTCATACTGAAACTAATTTATCAAATAATATTTTTATCAAACTGAATAGACAAGTAATTAACAAATAATTACAGAAAATAAAGCTGTCATCACATCAATCTATAGATTAAGCAGAAAACAATACTCTTTTACAGACTACATCTTATTCCAAATTATTCGCTATTGCAATTGTAAGTTGTTAAAAGATTCTTCAAAAATTTTAGAAACTGATATGTACATACTATTTGCGTGTACAAAAAATAAAATAAACTGAATTAACCAGTAAGTATTCGGCAATGATAGCTCGTCTAATTCAAAATACAAGTTTTTTTTACGAGCAGAATGTAATAGTAATGTGATGCGTTGTAGCTTGATGGATAGACTTCCGAAAAACGCTTTAGCTACTTCTTTTAGTTAATTCTGAAGACGAAATTACGGATATTTGATTGTAACCAGCGGAAATGAAGCCCATTTGCTACCAAAATTTCGTGCTCTTTTTTTATGTGCTATGCATAAGATTGTGAAAATATTGGCCAAAAAAATAAAAAACAAAAATAAAAAAATAAAGTAAAAGGTTAGAGCTCATGAATTAGACTATTTTTACTATTTAGCAAAGAGATTTAAATATTACAACTCTTTATCTATTTACATTACTATTGTATTATTATATCACTGTTATATCATTAACAATGCATAAATTTCAAATTTCATTAGTAGTACAAGCAAAATTTCCTTTTAAACTGAAAAGATTTGCTTAATCGCATAACAAGTTTTGCAATGCTTTTGAAAAGAGAGAAATCTATCCTAAAAACAGAAATTTGAAAATAACATTTTATGAAAGAAAATAAGTTGCACAAGACACAGACTTGCTTATAAACAAAAATAAAAGAGTTGAAAATTATTTTAAATTCACATATCTATCACGTATACTGATAATTTTAACTGGAATTCAGGCTATTTTATTCTTATCAAAACTGCTTTAATTTTTTATCAAATTAAAAACTGAAATCAAATTAAAAATCTGTAACTAATTAATGGTCTAAAGCAACCACATTTTGTTCAATTTAGAAGTCGTTTGAGATAATTTTGAATGAAGAAAAAATAACAGCTCACTATTTAAATGTAAAAGAGTTATTAATTAATCGTTTCAGAACTAAAATATTTAAAAAACCTCAAAGCAAAGTCCAATATATGTTGACCCCAATATAAGCGATAGCAGTCTATGATATGTGGTTAATAGCAACAATAACAAATTAATAAATTAAAATGTGTGTGTATGTTTTGTAAAAATAGTTTATAAGAAATAACAAAATTAAGCAGTAAACAATTTAAAGATAAAAAACTAGCAAAGCTATAGTTGTAATGATATAATCAGAAATATAATGTTAGTTTATTTTATTATTAAAAAAGTGTTCAAAATGAGAGAAAATAAGTTGATTAGTTTGTTTTGTTTTTTGAAAAATGTTAGCAACGAAAAGCAGAAGAAATGAGAGAGGGAAGGAAAACGAAACGAAATGCTTCTTATATCAGAATTGAGAAAAATTAGAATTGCATACACATACATAAGTTGTGTTATCTGCGTAGAAATGTATAAAGCTGAAACTGATCCATCGTCATGTGATCAGTGCAGAACAGAATTCAGCGAGATTCACAACACATGAGTGCATCATCGCATCCACTAAGCCCAGCTGTTTTCAGCAATTGCTAGCGTTTTTGCTATTCACACCTTTACAAAGGAAACTGTTTGTTTTTCCCTCCTAACTCAACGCTCATAGGATAAAAGTATTTCTCGGAAGGTTACTTAACTTAGTTTCCAATATTTATATCTATTATTGTTTTCTTCTATCCCTACGCATCTTATCCAAACGACAAACAACTTGACCCCGATTCTTTTCTTATATTTTTGAATGATGCTAACTACATGATTTAATTATCTGTGATGTTTACGGAATATTCTGCTTATATTTACACTACGCTTTGGCCAGTAATCAGTGCTGCATATTTCTTGCTTCCCTTTTTTTTTTTTTT